GAGATCTGTTGATGTCGGGCCATGCCGTGCATGGAGACTACATTTTTGCAATCTGAATACAGAATTGTTGGTGCAGACAGGAACGCGCACGCCATGGCATAAGCCGAGAATTCTCCTGCCTGAGGAGTCTGGGGGCAACTGTCCCACACGGGGCCCCGGCTCCAAGCTAAAAGATTCGACTGAGGGCCCATCATTGCTAAACCCCAGCCAGCACGATTCGAGCTGCGGACCACCCGTCGCGAACACGAGCCATCTAAGAAAACGTGGCCCCACATCTGTCGACGGCCGTCGCGGGGCATCTCCATGCCTTCCGCCGCGAAGCCTTCAGGAAAACACTGAAACTGGATACCGTCATCCTCCTCGGTTCTACAGTCGGACTTAGGGGGCGGGAGCACACTCTGGGGGTGGCCAAACAAGCCAGAGGTAAGGTGGAACCGTTCTCTCTCAGGAACCGCTTCGAACTGACTCAAAACCTGCTCCAGCGCACTGCGAGGAATCACCGCCCTCCGCTCCTCCTCCACCGCCGAACACGCATACAGCCGATGAAAAATCGTGTCACCAGGGCGATGGCAAAGCGGGCACCGATCCTCAACTTCGTAACCTGCTGCCCGTGCGCGGGCGTAAGGCCAGATTCCTTGACAGGCACAACAACGGATGGTTCCTTTCTGGCGAGCAGTAAACTTTTTGGAACGAAGCGCTTTGATGACGACGTCAAAGCATAAAGACTCGGCCCCTTCGGGGCCGTACTTGGCAGCCGCTTCTCTCTCCAAAGAACGCCAAACCCCCTCTTTGAGGAAAACCTGGAGGAGGGAAGGAGGCGTGAGCGTGAGCGAATGCTCAACTCCCAAGTCGCTGACCATGACAAAGGGCGAGGGCATGCTCCATCCCAGGCGGGCCAGGGGCAACTTCATGGCCCCGATGGGCCCGCCCACGGTCCTCCAGGTCCAAGAACGCCCGAAAACATCGTGCCACATGTTTCGGAGCTCGGCCCAAGAAAAACAAACATCGGATACCCTCGTAGCACGAGCCCAAACTTCCTTGGCCCACCTGATGGCTGGCGCCACAGCACCCCACCAAGCAGGATCGCCTTCAATCCTGCTAAGAATGGTTAAACTTCGGCCGCCGCAGGCAGGCTTCATCGTGGAGGCACACATGCGTCTGACTTTAGTTAACTCTCCGTCACTGACCCCGTGAACCTCCGCCCCATAATTCACTCCCGCGAGAGGTCCCGCAGTGCAGAGCTTGGTAGCCCTCGGTCCTAGAACTCCTCTTTGACGAGCCAGCCTGCCTGCACGCCTAGAGGCTCTCGCAAAGCGCGTCTTCGCTCTGCTGTTGCGCCCTCGGACTCGCCTGGCACAGCCTGCAGTGTCATCAATCCCCAAATTGACGAACGACTCAGTAAAAACTCCTCCAAGCCCCCCAAGTCGTTTCTGGACATGTCCGGCGATTTCCTTGGAGGACGCGACCAACCCGACCTTGTCAGGGGAAACTTGCGCAAAAAACACCTTCTCGATGATCTCCTCGAGGGACTTAGCCGCTCGTGGGAGTTCTTTCATGATGTGTCTGGTGGTCCCAATCGCATTTATCCCGAGGTCATCAATGTAAGCGTCGAACGTGATCCCCTTAGGGACCTCCAGTTGGTCAAAACCCCGCAGGGCAAATATCCTGATCATAGTGGTAACAAAACTGCAGCCCGCTATGATTCCGACTCTCGCGTAAGTATGAGGCGCAACCACTCCAGCTAGCACTAGGAAACGAGCAGAACGGTATCCCGCCATGCACACATCGGTGAGCGCATCAGGGAAACCGTGCTGCCTGCATCGAAGAGCCAGAAGTTCAAGAGAGATGCGCTCGTTGTACTTGACAAAATCCCAGAGGAGAGTACAGGCCTCCTGCCCGCAGGCCCGGGAAGACTCCGAACGGGCACTTTACCTCCAAACAACATCGCAAGCGGACTTGAATTTTCCCGCCGCCCAGTGCTCTCTCTGGTGTTTCCCTTCCCACTCAACCGCACAATCTCTCCTGCATTTCCCCCGTAATCTGCACAGGCTGGGAAAGACCCCGATGGGGCGGAAGCCAGTGGAGGGCTTCGGCAGCATGGCAATAATCAAGGCCTCCAGCTGCGGGGGAAGGGCGCCCGTGAGTTCCATCAACGTGAAAAACCGCGAGAGGGCCCACAAAGCCCCGTCGGACAGCACCGAAAAGTGTCTCAGATGAAACCCGCCCAGGCCCGTGGCAGACCTGTGGGCAAAAGCGCGAGAAACCTTCCGAATAATGTCAACCGAAACGGGAGGGAGGGGGGCATTCACTTTCCCTGGCCTTTTCTGAGGTACAGGGAGCCCTTCCCACAAATAGCGAAAACGATCTGCTTCGGCGGCCAGGAGCGCCTGCGGGTCGGACACCACGCAGCCTCCAGCACTAAGTGTAGTGGATGGCGTCCATCCTTGAGGGTCTTTTGTGTAGCCGTGCGCCCTACGCCCGCCTTGATCGACATTCTCGGTGAGCCAGTCCGCCCAATCTCGTCTGGCCTTGGCGGCGTAGAAGGCGCTACATTGTGATGCAAATTCGGTAACCTGGGTAGAGACCTCTTCGACTTGGGCAATCAAAACCTCCTGAGCCTCCAAAAAGCTAGGATCAGCGCCCAACCCTTCCAGAGGGTCTTCCAAAACCTTGAGGTCCAAAATCACAGAGGAAACACGACCGAAAACCGCTTCAATCCCTGGGAACAGGTTGTCGGGCTTACACAAGCTTGGGGGGGGGGGAGTCGACAGAACGCACCCCACTTCCCGAGCCTGAGGCCAGCCCCCCCTCTGCACACACATAGAAAGCCGTTTGAACTTCGAAGCGAGCCAGCGGCAGGCGTGGAGCTGGGGGTGCCGCGCGCACCCGTGGTCTGTACTAAGGATCGGCCTCCAAGAGATCATTTTTTTATTCCGGCCGGTAACGCTCGTTACCCGGGGGGGGGGGGGGGTCGTGCCCCCCGGGTAACGGTAACGCTTGGGCTGGGCGGGGTATGGCGAAGCAGGGGCGCTCTGCGATCGCCATAGTATGCGCGCGAGCAGCACTCTCTGCCTGAGAGCACCACAGTGGCTTGCGATTCGAGTACAAGCGCAAAGCCCGCCGCGTGGTCCCGGCACCACGCCCGCGCCCGCGCGCGCGACGACGATGATCGACGAGCGACGAGCGACGAGGTCGACGACGACGACGACGACGTTTGCCGCCTGTTTCGGCCTCCGGAGGCCGTTTTCGGGCGCCGTCGACGACGACGACGACGACGACGACGACGACGACGACGACGACGACGACGACGACGATTCGAGTACAAGCGCAAAGCCCGCAAGCACCAGCATCGCGCATGCGAGCGCCGCAATGGCCTGCGAGCGCCCACAGTGCGCCTGCGACCACCACACCACAGTGCGCATGCCTTCGGGCACCAGCATGTTGGAGGGGAAGACCGAGACCCCCCCCGCGTACGAGCGTTACCGTTACGGGGGGGGGGGGGGGGGGGGGGAGAGGCCCGGGTAACGAGCGTTACCCCCCAGAGGATAAAAAAACAATCTCCAATGGGTCTTGGGCCCCATGCCCCTCGACCCCAAAACTGGAAGTTGAACCCCGAACGTCCTGGAAAGTTCCCGTTCAGCAAGGCCCGCCCAAGACGCATAAGCTTCACGAAATAGGCGAGCAGTCATAACCCCATCGTCCCCTCTCTTGGCTCGAATAAAAGTCGCGTCCAGCTGGGCATGCACGCGCTTAAAGTCCATCGGCTCTGGCTGAGGTCCGAAGGGTACTTCCGCTGGGAGAGGAGGCGGGCGTCTGAAAGCGAGGTAGTGCATCTGGGCCAGTCCAGCATGGAAATCGAGACAGACTGGGCTGTGCGGAAAGAAACCAGCGTCCTCGATTATGCGAACTTCGGCGGCGCCCTTGGAAAGCCCAGAAGACACAGCGAAGTAGTCGTAGACTTTGCCCGCACCAGCGTGACAGGTAGGCTTGCTGGGGTCGATGACTTGGCCAACCAGGGTGCTCACGAAAAAGGACTTGGCGAGTTCGGACGGCTCCATGTTCCAGTCTCCCCCGACAAGGAATGGTTTCCCGCGGGTGGACCCTTCCGCCCCTATCGCCGACAGTATCTCGAGGTTAGATTCCGAGAGCCCTTCAGAGTCACGCATGTACACAGAACAAACTTGACGCACGTCCCCTTGGGGCGCATGCACCAGGGCCGTGATGGCCCTATGATGGGGCCAGCTCTAGCCCCGAGGGCGCCCGATGAAGCCCAAGATTGGCGCGACACAGGATCGAGACTCCCGCAGAAGGGCCCCCTTCGGGCCCAGTCGTGCCAGGGATCCAAAGAGATTTGAAACCGAGGCCAAGACAAACGGGGGAAGCTCTATCCAAAGCCTCCTGCGTCAAAAGCTTGTGCTCTTGGACTAGAACAACTTCAGCATCTACACTAGGGGGCCACTCCTTCACCGACCCCCAAGCATTACCGTTAACCGACACGACCCTCAGACGGAACGACTGGTGGCCTGGAGGTGGCGGGGGCAAAAAGGGGCCTCCAAACTCGGTGCCAAACCCTGGCTCCGAGAAGGATGCATCCCTGGCTCGCGCGTTATGACTAATATTTCGAGGCAAAACAGGAAGACGTTGGGCACGATGAGGAGGGGTCATGACAGCCTGCACTCGCTGTCGGCCTCCCTCCGGGAAAACTGAACTGGAACACCTTTCAGGTGTTGCGCGCAAAGAAAAGTTGAATCCCCCCCCTTCAGGCCTGCTGACCGTCAGGGGGGCTGCGGTTTTGCTGCGCACTGCGCCGCTCGCCTGAGCCGCTGCTCTCAGGAGTCGCCTGCTGCTGCTGAACACGCTCCGCAACTCGTGCTGCATGCTCGCGAACTCGGCTGACTGAGGCGGCTGGCTGGCTGGCTGGCGTCGCTGGCCGAGGCGTCGCCGCTGCCAGAGGCACCCCCAGGATGCGACCCAGCTTCTTCAGCGCCTCCTTCACGAACTCCGCCCCCAGCCGACGCGGCCCCGTCGCGCCCCTTCCTGCGCTTGGTGGCCATGCGCTTGAGGTACCCGTCGTGCTCGGCCTTGGCGACTGCAGCACGCTCCATAGCTTCGGCGAACAGGGCCTTGGCTGCCTTGCCGATGTGCTCCTTGAAGTCGGCCCGGCGTCGCTCCACCCCTTGAAGATCCGATGCCTCCATGCCCTCAGCGTCGACAGAGAAGAGGCCTCTGTCGTCGATGACGATGTTGGAGGCCCGCCCGTCCACGAGGTCGCGGAGTGACAAAGTGGGCCCAGGCGTGACCTCTGAGTCACCCGAGAGAGGAACAACTGCACTGTGAAGCTGCGCAACCAGTTGCCGATGTTCTGTGGCCATGGCCTCGGGGTGCTTCGATAAGTCGTGGATGGGAACCTCCTGCGCCCTGATGCCGTCCTGCCACCTCGCAAGCTTCGCCAGCTCAGCCTCCAGCCTGCCGTCCAGCTTCTTGATGCGGTGGTGCAGGTCGCTGACCTGGTCCTGCAGGGCCTTGGGCGGGGGCTTCGAGGCTGCCGCCATGGAGTCCAGCTGGCCCTGGCACCTGGCCGCGGTAGCCTGGTCACCTGCGCGGCGCGCCAGGGCGACCAGCATCTGGAGCTCCTTTGCGTCCAGCGGGGCGTCCTGCCCACGGCCGCTGCTGCCCGTGCCCTGCGCCGTTCCTCCAAGCTGAGGTCCAGGCGGGAGGGCAGCCCACTCTCCTGGGGGGTGATACCCAGGCACGCGAGGCTGACCCTGCTGATGAGACCAAACACCGCGAGGAGGAGCATGCTGGCTGGCCAAAGGGGCCTGCCTCGGCGCACCGCAGTGCTTGCAGTGCGACGCCCAGACTGTGGTCTTGCCGCACCCGCATGCAACGCACTTCCAGCAGTCGCTCCTGCCAGCCGCGCCGCATCCTTTGCCAGCAGGCCACTGGGCGCCTCCGTAGTCGTAGTTACTCCAGTCCTGCCGCTGCCAGCCCTTGGAGCCGCCGCCGCGCCACGGGGGAGGAGTGCCTCCCTGGCCGCCGCCGCCCTTGTAAAGGCCATGGGACATCAGTCTGACTGGGAAAGATGGACGAGAAAAGATAGAAGCCAAAATTTGACCAGCGGATCCCTTGCCGTTCTGAAGAGAGGACCCGCAAGCGCTCACCTGCGCCAGAACGGCTGGAGGAGGAAGGGGAGGACGAGGAGGGAGAGGAGGAGGAGGAGGAGGACCCCCTTCCGCCTCCAATTTATAGAGGAGGAGAAGGAGGAGGAGGCGGAGGAGGAGGAGGAGGACGAGGACCCCCATCCCCCTCCAACTTATGGTGGTGGAGGAGGAGGAGGAGGAGGATGAACCCCTCCACCTCCAACTTCTGGAGGAGGAGGAGGAGGAGGGGGAGGAGGAATAGGAGGAGGAGGATGAGGAGGAGGAGAGGGAGGAGGAGGAGGAGGAAAAGGAGGAGGACGGGGAGCAGGAGGGAGGGGATTTTTTAACATGGGCCATGACTGGCAGCTGTTGGCCTGCCAGTAAAGAAAACCTTGGAGGTGACTGAGCGGGGCAGGCCACACGGACACCAGAGCGCCAAGGACAGAGGAGCCACAAGGCCCCGCGGCACTTACACGAGCAGTTTGCCAGGAGCCACGACCCCCCCACCTCCACGAGGTAACGCAGTGCTCTGTGCCTGACCCGCCGAGCCCTCGTTTGGGGCCTGGCGGGGACTTCACTAGACGGCATTGCGACCAGAGAAGCTGGCCTCCACCCCACGAGAGGGGGAGGAGGGGTGGGGATGAGCGACGGTCGGGGCGGACTGGCTTTCCAGGTCCACCCCCGTGCCCACGGCACCCAATGGGCCGCCCCTGCGCAGCTGTCGCTAGGGGGCCCGCAAGGACCTCCCAAGCCGTGCAAAAGGGACAACCTCTGCCCAAAACGGGAAAAAGGGAAAGGGATGACGACGTCGGCAGGAGGAACCCCAAGGCTCGGGTTCTAAGGCTGGCTGCGTAACCCGCACCTCCCGCCAGAGCGCATGCCCAACCCCTCCAGAAACCCGAGCGCTGAGCCAGGGAGAAGAAACGAGAGCAACCTGTGGCAGAGCAGCGGTCGGGGCGGACTGGCAAAACCAATCCACCCCCGTGCCTGAAGCCCACAGGGTGGGCCCCTCCACTTCACGCAGTGAAAAGGACGGCCAGCCGCTGCAAGCTGGCGGAGCTGGCTGCGAGACATCAACACCGACAACATGCAGACGACTAAACCCCAGATCGAACCTGAAAGTGGCCTGGTCAAACAAAGCTACAGAAATGCACGTGCAGCGCTCCTTCCCCCACAAATGGGGCGCCTGATACGCGTGCAGTACGCGCGCGCACACACTCGCACACATACTTGAAATGCCTTAGGCGACGCCAGGACGACTCGGCAATGCTCACCCCTGGTGTAAAGAACGCCAGCGCGATGAGCAAGCCTCCTCCCCGGCGTGGGTCTATTGGGTCAAATCGAGAGAAAGACAAACATGTCGGCACATAAGAAAGAATAGTTGGTCGAAGTCTCCGCTCCCTTCTGCGTCGACGACAGAGTCTGGCTGCTGGACTTCTGCTCCAAGGGCATAAAACAGCTCAGACGACACCTCTATAACAACCCCTTCAAGCTTAGGGTGTCGCCCCTTCAGCACCCTGTACTTCCACCTCTCTAAATTCTTGCGGGTCGGGGCCTGACATTCCTTAGCCAACAGAGCCCTGGGCCCTAAGGTAGAAGCTGCCTTACACTTAACGCAAATGAGCGGGTGAGATCGATCGCTGCAATCGAAACTCAAAAGCGTGAGTCCTATGACTCATACTTTTTGCTGCAATGACTCCGGCACTTCTCCCGAGCAGCCCTCGGCGGAGGGCATCTCGCACTGGCCAAAAACAAAATCAGCATTGCGTCGTCTTATCTTGAGGCGCAAAGCACATCTCCAATACGATCTGCGCCATTCCCACACATGAGCAGCAGAGCGTGGGGAAGGAGGCTTCTGCCGAGGCACCCTGGGGGGCACATGGATACCCGCGAGGTCCAGGGCGGGCTACGGGGGCAACAGGCGGGCCGCGAGTCAACGCACAGAACGTGGAACCTTCACCTGCCACTCTATCTAGTCTAGTTCGGCGGGATCCCCTGTTACACCCGACTTTGCTGCTGCATCGGCAGCGTCGTTACCGAATGTCTCCCACTATTGCTGTTCAGCGTGACCTGGGCCATCTTGCACATGGGCTTTAACTTTAAAGAGTTGCTGCGACAAGAGAACTTTGAGCCAGCGCCATTGTGCCAGCGTAAACTCGCTCATACGAGAAAACGCTCCGTCTGTGGCATCTGGAACAGATCCACAACGTTTTTGCAATCAGAAAAACCCTCCGCAGGGCCCGCATGATTGTTGGCCACCATAGCCAGAGCCCCAAACCCCCCCGCCTGGGGAGTCTGTGGGAGGGGTCCCCAAACTGACCCCGCGATCCTGACCAGCTGCTTGTGTTCCCCTTTGGTGGCCTGTATATGTCCCCACGAGGCTCTGCTTAATTCTCTAATGGGATGTCTAGTGCATGCGCCGTCCATGAACGTCGTCCCTAAAACTTCACCTGGGCCCCCTGGTGGCTCAGCTTCATGGAATTGCACTTGAATGCCGCCTGAAGTCCATGGGCGTGGTAACCGTTCCCCTGGATGCTCGCCCCCCTGAGCATGCAGCAGCGCTTCCTTAGTGTTGTTATGATATAAGGCGAGGGGCGCGTCTAAGATCTGCTGATCGACCAGGTCTCCCCGAACGCCGCTGCAAGCAGGGCATTGCCAGAGTCGATGCGACACTCCATCTGGGCACTGATTGCAGAGCGGACACTGAGGCGAGGGCAGCTGGCAGCCTAGCTCGATTGCACGATCTCTCGTCCAGAGGGCCGCGCGTGAGAGACTTGATGCAGCCCTTCTCGAAATAAGAAAACTTCTGAGACCTCAGGGAACCCGCCGCGATGTCGAAACACGCTCGGCCCTCGATCCCAACATTTTTACCAACATCACGTTCGGGCTGCCGCAAGACCCCTTCTTTCAACAAGATCTTGACTAAGGCGGGCGAGCACGTACTTACAATAATATCATCCGGAAAACCGTTCCTGATCATGCTGAAGTTCGGCATCGACCACCCAATCCTCTTTAAACTCATTCCCATGGCCACCGTGGGGCCAGAAACTCTCCTCCAAGAAAGCTCCGCCTCTGTAGCGGCGAGCGCCGAGCCCCGAGCCTCGCGAAGGACGTTGAAAGGGAGGGTGTGCGCGAGCTGCCTAAGCTGAGTGGCGCACACCTCCTTGGCGTATCTGACAGCTGGCGCGACAGCTCCAGACCGCGAGGGACCACCGTGCAAGATGAGAAGGGCCGCCAAAGACCGCGTTCCTGCCGACGGCCAAAGCACAGTTCCTACGCTTCTCCTGCACGAACCCAGCTCATAATCTGAAACACCATGGACCTCCGAGCCGTAGTTGAGGCCAGCAATCGGGCCACTGGTATAGACTTGCCGAAGATGAGTACCTAACGTATTCTTGGCTTTCTTAAACCTCTTGGTCCTCTGTTTGAACAACTTGGAAAGCTCTCAATGTCTGTTTCCTCGTCATCTCTGTCGTCTGCTTCGTCCGGCAGTGTCGTCTACCCCAAATTGACGGCGGAATCAGCGAGCGCAGCTCCTCCGCACGCATCTTGGGCCTCGTGCGCGGCGCGACCTACCTTGGCAGAACAACCGATAACTTAAGATTCGTCCTGAGCAACAGCCGGCTTCATCTCCGACGTCAATCCCCAAGGAAAGCTGGGCCGCAGCATGGGTGATGTCAGAGGTGACCTGTTTAGCGCTCCCAATCGAGGATATGCCGTAGTCGTCGATGTATAGATCTAGCATGGTCGTATGGGGGGAATGAAATCCGATCTACAGTAGGGATCACATACACACGCACATACGACGTGGCGATAGAGCATCCAGCTATCACTCCACTCTCAGCAAAATGTGGCCCATTAACTTGGCTGGCCATGCTAGGATAACGCGGGCCTCCATAGGCCGCCGCGCTGACTCGGTAAAGCTGGGGCGGAAAATCTAAAACATCGGCGAGGCTTTCCAACCCAACCAAATCGATCGACCCATAGAATTTCATCAGATCCCACAGCGCCTTGCACGCAACTTCCTTCGACTGCTTGTGTTTGGGTCCCTTTGCTCCTTGAAGTGCTCGAACTGCCTTCCCTGTTTTCGCCGCCTGTCGCCAGACGACGTCAGCGGCTCCAGCGAACCTGCCTGCTGCCAGGTATGATCGCGGGCGTTCGCACTCCCAGCGAGCAGCGCGGGGTCTTCTCAACTTGCCCAAGGGCCTGTAGAACGAGCTGAAGAGTCCTATGGGTCGCCAGCCTCCAGCTGGCTACCCCAAAAGAGGCGCCAAGATGGTGCGAACCTGGTTGGGCATCAGCGTCGTAGATTCCATTATGCTCATCATCCACACGAGGGTCATCAAAGCACCGTCAGACATGGATGCATAATGCTTCATGTGGAAGCCATCTAAAGAGACTGCTGATGCCGCCATAAACATACGCGCTGCTTCACGCATGCGCTGAGGGCTCAAGAACTCCAAGAGGTTGGATGTACTCCTGCGAAGCTTCCTTTTTATCACCCGAACTTCTCCACCAAAGCTTGCTGCGCTTGGCTGCTTCACTGCTGAGGACCGACTTGGGGTCTGATAGCGCCGCTCCCAATTCTGACAGGGTACTCGTGGGGGCCCACTTCTTTGGCAACCTGGTCCACTTGTGGGCTCTCCCAGCACCTTTGTGCACCCCCTCTGGAAGCCGCGCTTTCCAATCCTTGTACGACTCATTCTTAGCCTTAATGGAGGTCGCACCCAGCTCCTCGGAGATCCCACCTAGAATCCCGCAGCATACATCTAAGTCCGCAAAGGCCTCTGGGTCCCCGAAGACCGTGTAATCCTCCGAAAACGTAACGAAATCCTTCACAGACTAGTGCAAAGCTTTGAAGTCCTCCTGGAGGTACCTGCTGATCACCATCGGTGGGTCCCCCAAAGCCCTCGAACACCTCTAAGCTGTGAAAGCGCTGTCGAGCCCGTAGCAACAGCAACGTCTTGGCCAGTTGCATCTCCTGACTGCTGAAGCCGTGCTTGAGCTCTGCTGGCAACATCTGGAAGCAATGAAGAACGCGCTGGCGCGGGTGCTGAGTCCTGGTCGCCCCTCCACTCAGGACGGGCACTGGCGGAGCTTGGCTCTTCAAAAGAATCATGCCGTGCACGCTGTTGCCACTCCTGCAGCAAGCTGACAAAAAGGCGGTTCGTACTCTCCAGCCAGCGCAGGGAGTGCAGGGTCGGTTGCTTCACCTCCTTTCTACTGCCCAGTCCCAAAGCTGATTTCCACGGTAATTTAGGCAGCCGGCCCCGACAACCTGCAACAGGAACTTCAAAATGGCGTGACTGGCAAACTTCGAGCTCGGCTAACCTGGCCCACAGCTTGTACAAGTAATTCAGATGACGCTGAATACTGGCCTTTGGGTCCCCGTGACGAACCACCTGGAGCCCGTATTGAGAGCAATCCAAAATAGAATCCTAGACGGGGCCCCCTGGGACTAAGCCTATCGGGATCTCAACAGGGATAGGAGGGGGCTTCTGGAAAGCGAGGTACTGGACACCCGCAAGCTTGGGGTGCAGGCTGACCTGCGCTGGCTTGCGGGTCTTAATATCGCTTTCCAGAGCGAGGCGGGTGAATTTGACGCGTGTAGCTAACCCTCCCGACACCGCAGTGTAGTCTAGCAAGCGGACCTTGTCGGGCACTGCTGTGGCACACGTGCCCTCGACTGACGGGTACATGATCCTGCTGCCGAGGCTCTCGGCCAGGTCACTCTCATGGAGCTTGGTCGGCTCCATGTTGAAATCTCCTCCTATGATGTGAGGTGCCTCGGTGCTCTGTCGAGAGGCCCTCGGAGTCTTTCCAGTAAACCGAACTGCACCACATAGATTCACCTCCTGGAATCTGGACCCAACATGCTATGGCTCTGCCTGGGTACATCAAGGGCCCCTGCATCAAGTCATGCATTCCCAAGAACGATCTGGTGAAGATCGCCACCCCGCCAGACGCTCCTGACCCAAGTCCAATGATAGTTTTTTTTTAAAAAAAAATAATAATAATAATAATAAACGAGTTGTCCACCCATGCTTAGAAGCCCAGCTGCTGGCCTCCGAAAATTGGTCCCCGTGGGTCGGCCTGTGTTCCTGAAGGCGCACAACATGCGCCGACGTCCTCAACGGCCAAGATTTGGCCGGTCCCCAAGAAGTGACGTTGGCCGTCTCTACGACCAACTCAAAAACTTCAAGCCCAGGAGAATTCAGAGACCTCAGGGAGTCACCAAGGGGCTCAGCATCTGGCAGGGGGGGCGGAAGACGGCACAGCCGTGGCAAAACTGATGAGTCAGAAGATCGACTCGCGGCTGGCTTACTAAAATGCAAAGAATCTCCCTCCTTGGGAGAACTCAGACGCTGAAGCGGTAGATGCTGTGGTTGCTGCTGTAGCGGCCCAGCAGCAGGCTCTGTTAGTGCAAGTGCGCCCCCCTGCACGCTCAAGCACTGGCCGTGGCGCTCGGTGCAGGGGGCGGTGCTTGGGTGACAGCACGGCGCGCTCGCTCCCTGATGTGTCTGAAGGTTCTTCAGCGGATGGTGAGATGGTGAGGCCCTCTGTTCGGCCGCCCCGCCCGCGCCAGAATCTCCAGCTCCATCTTTGCTGCCGGCTCCTCCGTCGCCGCCGTCTCCCGCGACTGGAGCTCCATCACGCCCTTTCCGCTTCTTCTTCCCCAGGCGGGCCATGCGTGCGATGTGTTGCTGATTCATCTCATCGGTCTTGGAAATGATGCCCCCCAAGGCCTGCTTGGTGGCCTCAGCGATGTTGGCCTTGAGCTCGTCGGCGCGCTGCTGGAGGATCTGCATGTCCCCGTCGGCGATCTCACACTCATCCTCTGGAATGCAAAAAATGTCTCCAGCGACCATGAACTCGACGGCGTCCACTTTCCCTTCGATGAAGTCGCGCGGGCGAAGGCCAGTAGAAGCAGCACGGGTAGGCGGAGCATCATGCTGCTTGTGACGCACCTGGCTGTGCAGCTGGTCGACCAACTGCTTGTGTTCCTGGTCCGCGGCCTCGAGCTGTGCTGAAAGCTGACTGACTGATGTAGCCCTCTCGTCACACCATGTCCTCCACTTCTCAAGCTGCTCGACGGCCGCATTGAGCTTCTTCTTCTTCAGGAACTGAACTCGTTGGTGGGCCGCCGTGGCCCTTTGCTGGATGTGCTTCTCCTCGGGCTGCCTGGATGCCGCTCGGAGCCTCTCCAGCGCGATCTGGTATTGAGTAGCTGCAGCCACATCGCCAAAGCGCTTCGTACAGGACACCATGTTCCCCAACTCTGACTCCGACAGGGTCTCACCAGTCTGGATCGGCTGGAGTCCTGGCTGCAGCGCTGGCGGTCCGTTAGCCCAGGCCCCCAAGCGACCGACTCGAGGGTCCTCGTCGTCGGGCCTCGGCGACTTGCAGTGCTTGCAGAACCAGTCGGGCAGCAGACTCTTGCCGTACTGGCAGTGCTCGCACTTCCACACGGCAAGGTTCTCCGCACCCTTGCCTCCTGATCCTTTTCCTGCGCCCTTGGCTGCACCAACTCCTCCCTTACCGTAGCCGCTGTTGCCTTTCGTTCCTCCTCCTTTGGACTTGTTGCCCCAGCTGGCGTACTCCGCCCAGGCGTCCTCGCGCGCCCAAGCTCGCGAGACCCATGGCGGCGTGCCTGGCATCCTGGGGGGGAGATAATGACAGGTGGTGTGGCTTGCCTTTGCAGCGTGCCGTTTTGAAGTTCGCAAAGGCAAGGCCCCCGCGCTCGCGGCAGGCGGTCGGGGTCCAACACGGCTGGAGGAGGGAGGGGAGGAGGAGGGGGAGGAGGAGGAGAAGGAGGGGGAGGAGAAGAAGGAGGTGGTGGAGGATGAGGAGGAGGACCCCCTCCGCCTCCAACTTCTGTTGGAGGAGGAGGAGGAGGAGGAGGAGGAGGAGAAGGAGAAGGAAAATAAGGAGGAGAAGGAAGGGGAGGAGGAGAAAGGAAAGGAAGAGGAGGAGAGGGAGGAGGAGGAGGAGGAGGAGGAAGAAGAAGAAGAGAAGGAGGAGGTGGAGGATGAGGGCTCTGAGGGCTCTGATGAGACGGGTCTGTCCATAGACCCGTGGCACAGTGGCCTGAGCGAATCCGCCTACGCGGCCTCAGAGCCGAGCCCGATGGCCCAGCAAGACGAGCAGACTGCCCGCTACGGTCCGCGCTGTCTGAGGCCAGCAGGAACCGTGGCAGACAGCCCACACCAACGAGCCGCACCCAACAGAGGCGACGAGTGGGCCCAACGACCCAAGAAGCCCAAAGGCAAACACGGGGCGAGATCAGCCGCGGCGACGAAGTCCACCCAGGCCAAGCCCAAACACCCGCCGCCACGGCCGAGCGCACTCAGGCCTCAGACTGCTTTACGACCAAGTCGCTCATGCACATGAAGTCAAAGGCGCCGATGGCCTGCGACTTGCTCAGCATGACGGCGTTCGCCTTCACAAAGTCGGCATTGCGATTCCCGGCCTTGGCCGCCTGCTTCAATCGGGTCTTGAACAGAAATTGCCACGCCGGGAATGACGAATTTACCGATTAACTTCGCCACTGACATTGCAAAGTTCGGGAGGGAGCTCAAGCTCTTGATCATCACAACACGCGGGATGACGAACTTACCGATGCATTTCGCACCTGAAGTTGCAATGCTCGCAAGAGAGCTCAAGGCCGTGCTGAACTTCTCCGACAAAAAAACGCCCACCATAGCTCCCGCACGCTGCGTCCCTCTGAAGTGCTCGCGCGGACGGCCCCCCCTGGGCCCAGAGGGGCTTGAGCCAAAATGGTTACGGAGGTGGGGGAGAAGGAGGAGGAGGAAGAGGAGGAAGGGGAGGAAGAGGAAGGGGAGGAGGAGGAGGAAGAGGAGGGGGAGGAGGAGAAGGAGGAGGAGGAGGAGGAGGAGGAAAAGAAGGAGGAGGAGGAAGAGAAGGAGGAGGAGGAGGAGGCTTTGAACCTGGGAGGCCCCGAGGCGCTGGCCTCCGGCGCGCCGCCGGGTGCGCGCTCCAGGGCGGCGGGTGCCGAGCGGCGGCGCGCCGCAGCGGGGGGCGGCCGCTGCGCCGCTGCCGGCGCGGCGCCGCCCTCGGCCGCGGGCCCGCGCTTGCGGGGAGGAGGGCCCAGGCTCGAGGACCGAGGGCGAGGAGGAGGAGGAGGAGGAGGAGGAACAAGATTTGTTGAATATCAACGTCCACGTCCACCCCTGAAGTTCTCTCCACACAGAGCTCCAGGGCGCACACCACGACGATGAGGCCGAAGGGCAGGGAGAGGAGCACGAAGTCCAGCACAAGGGGGACGTGCAGCACTTCTTCACACGAAAGGAAGAAGAACATGAAAATAATAATAATAAGAGGAAGAAGGAGGATACGAATAAGAAGAAGAGGAGGACCAATGTAAGCCCAAGACTCGTCAACGAGGTTGAAGTACACCCTCCCTCCAGGCTGCCTCTTCACGGGTCCCTGCAAGGGTTCACTTCCACCAGGGGACTTGCACCGTTGGGGGACAACCGTGTGGAAATCTGGAAGCATGCCAAAACACCATTCTCAGGGCTTCAACGCCACGATATAACCTGACTCCTGAATCGCGCCAGAACGCCGTTCATGGGACTTCAACACCGCGAATCAGCGCAACTGTTGCGCCCTCACAATCGTGAGCTGCTCGATGCACACAATTTCTGCTAGATGGACCATGGGAACCGATTGAACTCTTCAGAATGACTTCACCGAACATGCGCGGCGCTAAGGCGAGAACCACTTTTTGAAAAGGAGCTGTCCTCAATCCGTGAAGCTCCTGCATATTTTTTGTTGAAAACAAATGCGCGCGGCGCTTCAGTGAAAATCGCACTTGGAGGTTTTGGTCGAGGGAGGCTCTGCTCCACACTTTCTCGTCGAGTTCACCGTTGGCACTGTGGTGGGAACCCGCATGCAGTACCAGTTCGTTACAGTGCCCAAGCGTTTCCCCGCTGAGGTGCCAGTTGGATGCAGGCGTTCGGACCCGCATCCCAGGTGGTAACGCGTTCACGTTATGTCTCACGACCTGGACGTTGACGGCAGATGGCGTCTGGGGGTGGCAGCAGCTGATATGGACCTGACATGCATACACGCCACGGAGCCTGATGTGCAGCTCGATTTTTTGGCCGCGGCCATCAGCTTTGTATCGCTGTCGCAGGTAATCCCGTGGCAGTAAGCTTTACTTTCTCCCCTCGCCTCAGCCCTACTGGGACATGTTGGCGTTTGGCTGCCAAATGTCTCGAGACGCTCAGGCGTTGGACTTTTCCCGGGCTGCGTGCAGGCATGTTGAAGCTGGCTCACAAGTTGCAGCGCACGTCTCGAGCCAGCGGTGTGCAGGACGCCCAGGCTCGCCCATGGCTTGGCCTGTTGTCTTTTGCTCGCGCTCGGCCGTGCAAACTCGCTGCCCTTGTAGGACAGGCCACCAAGCTTTTTGCCGCTAGGATCCATCGTGCTGCCGAACGGGACATGCTGGCAGGCTGGCGCGATTGGCGATTGGGTCCACAGGTGCGCGCTCGATGGCGCCGCTGCCCCGCGCGTTTTTCGCGCCCTGCCGCGCCGCAGCATGCCGGCAATTTGAACGCAACAGGCGCGCCCTGCACACTTCAGGAGAAGGGGAGTTGCTGAGCCGGGAACGGTTGGAGCCATGGAAGGTCGGAGCCAAGCACGAGGCCATCGAGTGGCCCGATGGTCTAGGGCCAGCTTTCCCCACGCCCACGCTTGAGGAACTCAAGCAAGTCATTGCTAATTTCCCACGTAACTCGTGCGGTTTCGATGATATTCCCCCCCGGTAGTTTTCGGGGCTCTCGGAACTTGCTCTCGAGGCCCTCACCGACGTGCGTTGGTTGAAATAGAAGTAACTGGTTGGTGGCCCGCTATCTGGAATAACAGTGTTTGATTTTCGAGCGGGGCGGTGGCTTGCGCCACATCGCCGCCGACTTTGGTTTTTGGATCATAGGTCGGGTCTCCGGCGGGCGATCGGGGCGATCCGGGCACCCCCAAAACGCCCTCAGCGAGGCGCAGCTGCTGGCAAGCATCCAGAGGCTGGAAACCCGCCGGGAACCGACGAAAACATTAGCAAACCTCAAACCTCGAACCCGGAACTTCCCCCCTCGCGGCGGCGGTGGCTTGCGGCCCGCCGCGCTGATCCAAGTCGCTGCTCGGGAACAAGGAAAACCCCGCAGGTCTCTACTAGTGGCCCAGTGGCAGGCCGCGCACCCTTGCCCGTTTTAGCGGTGCCTGGCTGGGAGCGACAGACCGGTTTAGATTCTCATGCCGCCGAGTGGGCTCGTCGTCGCGATGTGCCAGTGGTCTCTAAACGGGTCCTGGGACCCTAGACAAATCCCAGGACTCACCATATTGTCCCGTATGTTCCATGTTTTCGTCGCCCCTCAACCTTCCCACATTTTCCCAGATCTTCCCGGGGATCGATGATGAATTGTGTCTGTGCGATTTCCCTCATGGGTCTCATCCTGCTTGGCTTGCCGCGCCGAGCACTCCGAGCTCGTGCGCCGCGCGGCGCTCAGGGCTTCCGCTCCGGCAGCGAAGGCCGCCCGTTGCCTTGCGCCGCCCCCCCGCCCCGGCCCCTGCCCCTGCAGAGCGCGGCGCCCGAGCCCATCGAGACTCTTCAGGCCGTCCTCCCAGGACTTTTGCCGCGCTGATGCGGCAGTTGATTATAATTTCGCCCCTTGACGCGGTGCGAGCGGCTCTCGCGCGCGAGCGCGCGGGCGTTGTCGTTGAGGATTTTGGGCTGCAGCGTTTTGGGCGCGAGGCCGACGCGGCGCGCGAGCTCGCCGCAGCCGCGCGCTGCTCCTGCGTCGAGAGCTGGCCGAAGAAAAATGCAGATCGCCGTCGAGAAGTCGCATCGTGGTCTCGTCTGCCCCCTTGCAGCCCCGTCTCGAATCTAGTTTGCGCGGGTTGAAGGTGAGAGCCGCCAGCGCTGAACGCAACCACAGCACCGATGCTGGAGCTGCCAAGGCGCGGCCGCAGGCCGCTCGCGTCTCCGCGAGGGCGCCGGCTAACAAGCGCGTCAAATAGATCCCGTCGCTTCGGGGCCTCGCCAAACGCCGCTTTCTGAGCGACGTGCTTCAGGACACCGCTGTCTAATTCACCCGTTGCGGTGGGCATGCTCTAAGCAGCGCAGGAGCTGACATTCGCGCCGCGCGCGCGGCGCGGGCGCGCGTGCAGGCGCGGCGTTTAGCTGGGCGCTCGGTCTCGCATATGCTCGCGCTATCGCGCAAGACCACCATCGACCCCATTCGCCCCCGCAACCTCGATCCCCCCCTCGCTTTTGCAGCGGCCGCATGGGGCAGCTGGGTGCCTGGGAGCTTGCCGGGGCAAGGCGTTCGTTCGGAGGTTGAGCGTTTCGATGGGCATGGACATCCTTGGCCCAGCATCCCTGGCCGTTTTTTCTCGGCTCGCGCAACAACGGCCCAGATAATTTACTTCGAGACCGACCGTTTCTCACGGCGGGCCCCCGGCATTGGAGTTCTCGGCCTCGCATCGACGGAGCCACGGGCTGTTCGAGCGCGGCCCATGCGAGTCATTGAGTCCACATTGTGGGCTAAGGTTGCCGAAGGTGAAGCTGAGCCCGAGCAGATCAGGCATGCACTTCGCT